GGAAATACCAGTCTTTAGGTGAGTTTGCTAACGATGCTCGTATGTGTGAGATGAATCACATGTACATTTAGTGTTTGAAAGGGGTACAAAGCAGTGGGTTGTAATCATAGAATCATAGAATCACAGAATGGTTTGGGTTGGAAGGTACCTTAAAGCCCATCTAGTTCCAACCCCCCTGCCATGGGCAGGGACACCTTCCACTAGACCAGGTTGCTCAAAGCCTCATCCAGCCTGGCCTTGAAGACATCCAGGGATGGGGCATCCACAACATCTCTGGGCAACCTGTTCCAGTGCCTCACCACCCTCTCTGTGAAGAATTTCTTCCTGATATCTAATCTAAACCTCCCTATTTTCAATTGGTACACATTACCCCTTGTCCTATCACTACAAGCTCTTGTAAAAAGTCCTCTCCCAGCACCCTTGTAGGCCCCCTTCAGATACTGGAAAGCTGCAATGAGGTCTCCTCGGAGCCTCCTCTTCTCCAGGCTGAACAAGCCCAGTTCTCGCAGCCTTTCGTCATAGGAGAGGTGCTCCAGCTCTCTGAGCATCTTCGTGGCCTCCTCTGGACTCGCTCCAACCGGTCAATATCCTTCTGATACTGAGGGCTCCACAGTTGGACTCAGCACTCCAGGTGGGGTCTCACCAGAGCAGAATACAGGGGCAGAATCACTCTGTAATCGAGCCACTCCGAGATGTAATCCCAGCTGTCATTGATTCCCATGGCTTTAGGGCAATGCAGCTTGACACTTGCTGGTTGCACTCCTCATAAAAGTCTTGTAGAAGTGCTGTGAGAAGAGTTATTGCATATTTTTCCATCTTTGAGGCACACTAATCTGCATTTACATGGTAGCTTAGTATTAAGTTTATCATTAGACTGTAATTGCTTTGCAAATGAAGAATGATGCTATCTCTGTCTTGTATTTCTTTCAATACTCCTGGGATATCTTAGGGGTGTTTAATATACAGATCTTTCATATGGAACAAGACATTTAACTGCTATGTAAACATCTGTTCTCTTAATGTTATGGATTAATTTGATTAAGGAACTTTTCGATTACTTCCTCTGCTCAGAAGTTGGAGTTGATGCTGGCCCAGTGGAGCAGATCCATGGCACGTGTGTAGAGCGCCTGCAGCAGAGCACTGTCATCGAGTTTCAGCCCTGATTCATTCAGGGCCCAAATCTCCTTTTACCAGGTTTTTGTTCGGTAGAGAATGCAAATCGAATCAAAGTTGTCTGCTTTAAATTGTAATTTTTGCACTGCAACACTTCTGTTTATTTAGAAGAACCAGAGCGGTTGAGGGAAAACTCCCGGTCATTCCATACATGCTTACAACGTGGAAGTTGAGGTATGGAGGTGTTGGGTAACTTGACAGGAAAGGTTGGATGGGGTTAAGCCATCCATTAAAGCACAGCTCAGGCCGAGTGCCCTGCTCACTGGAGGATGCTGCACTCCATACCTGCAGTGCTGCGGTCCAGTGGATTGAACCTGCATGTTTGAGGTACCTTTTGTAGTCTCTTACGTTACCTCTGCTTCCTTGATGCATTGGGATTAACCTGCACTTAATCGATGCATTTTCTGGAAATCCTGCTCATCTGGTTAAACTAGTTTGCCATTGGAATGCTCCCCCATTCCCTCTCCTGGATCCTGTCCCGCTTTCTGTAAATCATCACCGTCCTCAGGCTGCTGAAACTTTTCCTCATGTCGACTAGGCCGTGGTTTATCTTTTGAAACTTAAGCCCTTGCTCAACCAGACAGAGAAAGCTTTTGTATTTGTGGAAGCCTTTCAGAGCCTTACTAGCCATGTCTTTAAAGGCCCCAAGCCCTTCATTCTGGGCTGGAAGACATGCCACTTGCTAGAGTTCCCTCCCGGCTAAGGAAACCGCGCTCCCAGGCTGAGCGGTTTGCTGGTGGGAGAGAAATGAGTGGGCATGGTTTCCTGATCTTTCTCAGACTGTGCTGTACACGTAGTTCCTGTTACTTATTATTTTCAGTCCAAACTGATTAACAGGTGAGCTCAGAATTTACAATTGCAGTTTATATCTGCCAGGGTCTCAGCAAACCCAGCACTGTTTAGATACCGTCTGCGGTCAGTGAGCAGCAAGGGTTTTACTGTCCGAAACGTTGCTCTCCCTGCCCCTGTGTCAAACACTGAACTTAGTCCCTGCGCCTAACATACCGGTCTCATTTCAATTGCTGGAAAGTTCCTGACGCTGGATTTATCGGCTATAGGTGTGATGCTGAACACAAACAAAAATTATAAGGTAAAGAGGTTGAACACAAGTACCTAATGCGCATTGTTGGTGAACAGGTTTAGGTTCCATTCAAGAGAACTCTGTGGAAGATAATTTTGAGAGGATGTAATTATTTTTACATTAAAAAAGTTTAATTAAAAAAAAAAAGAGAAAAATACCTTAGCACACTTACCTGAAACTATACTGTAGTTATAGGTAAAAGAATACTTTATGTAGCATGGAAACAAATCGTTACTGAATATTTTTATGAACAGAAATGAGAATCATTCAGAAGACAAATTGAGGGAAGGAATCTGAGCGCTGCTGAGGCTGTTATTTCTCAGTCTTCCCATAGGGACATGGTCGTATTGTATGGAATACTGGTGCCCTTCTCACTGGGGGCATGTTGCTTTGGAAGTCCTTTTCACCAAAAGTTACTATTACAAAATGCAAGCAGTTTCCAGCTCTGTTTCTTAATTACTGGTTTCCTTATTACTTCAAATGAAGTAAGGATAAGAAGAGTTTGAAGAATTGTTATCCACCTGAAAGTTAATCTACTGGTGATTCAGATAACACCACGCAGGACTGCCTGCGTAAAAGAGCACTGACCATAAAACAGATATCTGCGGTCACCAAACTCATGTGGGAGGTCAGTGGAGGAGTGAAGGACGTGGTCGTTTGTTCATGGATGGCCATCCTTCAAGAGAGAAGAAAGTTCTGCAATGAAATCTCCAGTTTGTGCAGTAAGAGTTACTTAAAATCTTAATATGAGGAAAGAAGTTGCTGATTAAACAAAGAATATCAGTTTGAAAAGCTAAAAAGTCTTGCATTTGTCTTGTTGAAAGTTTACCTATTAGAAACTCAATATAGAATCAAATTGGTCTTTTGTAGTTTTAGAGATGTACGGGTTTTCTCTCTTCATCTCCTCTCTCCTCCTCTAAATCTTATCACTTGTGATTACTGAAGATCCGACAGAGCCCTTGTACCTTTTTGCAAAACTGCAAGGATTTATTCTTGTTCTTTGGCTCGTTTCCCAGGTTTCATCTACAAAGAATCCCCTACATTTCAAAAAGAGATGCTCTGTTCTGTTTTCTCATCCTTCTGGGGTGTGCCAATGTTCAGTAGCTGCTCTGTTACCCCCTGGAGACGGGGGCATCTGGCACATCAAGCACCACAGATGTTGGCTAATGCCCTGAAGAAACATCCACCTATGGAAAATCCTGTCTGCATTAGGCACTGGGTTGGCACAGAGTTGTATACAGACAATAAAACTTTCAGAGAGCTTTGGGAATAAATAAATACAGCCTTTTTAATTTACATAATGCCTTTTTAGTAGATGCTAGTCTGAAAAATAGCACTGGTTTTAGGTTTGTAACTTACGAGTGTACTGCAGTTTTAAGAATACGTAGACTTGATGTACAAATGATAAAGTTGCCTCTTGATTGGACCATTATTGTGAGCAAAAGTTTACTCTTGCTGCTTCTCCTTTAAATACCAACACACTTGGAAATTTTGGAAAGGTTAGTCTGTGACCTAAGCACTTTTTGTAACAGATTTGTGTAGTGTTGAGTCCCAGATGGAATCAAAGGAGCAAACCGATTTAAGCCTTTAACCAGCATGCAAGGGTATTTTAATGAAAATTAGTCTGATTCTCCCTTTGAAGCTGTGCATGTGTAGAAAAGGAATGCTACAGATACTCCTTTAGGTAATGCTGGGGACTTGCCCACCATTACTTATGTCAGATTGCTAGCTCTTGAAAGCACGTGTTTATTTTTAATCGATAGTATAATCAACTGCTGTCTGTTCTAGTATGATTTCTTAACCTTATTAACCTAAATATTTCCTGTTAATATTTACATGCGTGACACTTGTAATTAGGTATCTACTGACAAATCTAAATCAATCCTAAGCCTAGCAACAACATTTGAGTTGCTGCAATCTCAAAAGATGGTCTGTTTCAAGATTTGCACAATTACTTATTTTTAAAGAGCATAAGGAAAAGAGCTGAAATAACCTTTTGCCTTATTACAATTATGGTTATTCTGCAACTTGGTACTAATGACTTCAGCCTCAGAGCTGGCTACTGGCCTCCTTTGCTCCCTTTCCTGAGCTCTGTACTCCTGTCCTTGCTTCCAGAACACTGCCCAGCACCATCTCACCAGGACTCTGTTTTCTTTTTCTCCTATGGCCACTTCCCTTTTGTTTTTTCTCCAGCCATTCCTTTTATTCTTTGTCCACTCTCATCATCTTGTATGTCAGCTCAGGAGGAGCACGCTTACTACTGTACCAAGTAATGCGCTTTTCCTGCAAGTGCCTACTTTCTGAAAGCAATTTAGGTTCCTACTGTTGGGTCCTTTCCTGCTCCAGACTTAGCATAAGCAGCCCAGGACAGGAAATACTCCACTTTGTTATGTAAGTTGAAATGCATAGATTGCCCTTGATTTATTTGAAATGCAAATGATCGTACACTTCAATGCAAATGACTGTACTCAGGTTCAAGAGACACTGAGATGCTCTTTGTTGTTTTATTTCCCTTTTAGATGCTCTGTATTTGCCAACATCAGGGACAGCAAAGGAAGAAACTGCTCAGGAAGAACCTGAATGCCTTGTGAAATATTTCAGTGTTGTGTGGTGTAAGGCATCAAAGAAAAAGCACAAGAAGTGGGAAGGCGATGCTGTTCTTATTGCAAAAGGAAAGTCAGTAATACTGAAAGATATGGAAGGCAAAGACATTGGAAGAGGTACTGTAGATGGGTGTAGTTGTGTAAGTGAACCGCTGGCTTAAAAGAATTGGGCTTTGAATAACAGAGAGACAGCTCTTCAGATAATTTAGAGTTCTCCATACCAGTGTCAACCACAGGATGAAAACAGGGTTTTCTGGGGGCTGGGAAGGAGGGAGTTTTATCTTCTTTACATATAAGGCAGATGCATGGGGGAGGCTGGGGCAGGTTGAATAACGTTATTCACAGAAACACCAAATGCTAGTCCAAGGAGAGGATCTGGAAATGAACGGCTGTACTAATTCAGCAGGGATGCCAAATGAGGGATGAGTAGTTGGTTTTGGTTGCTCACATAATACATTGGAGGAGGTGTTAAAATTAGGGAAAAATATACAGGTAAGTTCCTCGTAGATATTCCAACCAGTAGTATGGCAACTGGAAATGTAGAGGTCGGATCTGTACTTTTCAGCCAGACAAACAGCTAAAAATATTGTCTTTGTCGTAAAGAAAAGCAAACAGCAACATTTTTCAGCTAAGCCAAAGTCAACTGTGTAGCAATTTTTAGTCTTGTAGTTTTAGCAGCAGCTGCTGCTGTAAGACTCAGTTTGGGTTGATATGAGAGTTAAAAATAAGACTTGCAAACTACAGGCTGCAGTCAACTCGAAGCAGTCATTTTTAGTGAAAGCAAAGCAAGATTTAACTTTGCGAACAGAACCAAAGATATTTTGTAAGGGAATAGGATTGGACAATGTTGCTGTAAAACATAATTTGATTGATTTTAGGGCTGAGATGGCTTCTCTGCCCTTTTGTTGCAATCATAACATTGCGAATCTTGTAAGAACCAGGCAGTTTTGATTTGCAGATCAGCCTGTGACTTAGAAACTAATTTGAATTTATTTATAGCAAAGCAATATATGTACAGACTTGCTTGTTGTTGAAAAAGGCAGAGAAAAAGAGAGTAATGCCTGGAATGCATCAGCCACCACCTTGTTGTGGTTTTTTTTCCAAGTCCTGCCTTCTTGAATGAGCAGAAGACACAATAGAAAAATGAAACTTCTGATTTTTGCTGGTAAAAGTCTTTCTGCTATGTTTGATGGTGTCAGGGAGCCCAATGATACCAATGTCATGGGTACTATCTTCCCTATTCAGAGTTGCTTTCAATGCTCCTCGAGTCTAAGAAAACCATAAATTTACCAATCTAAGCAGTGTATGTTTTAAATTTCTGCAATTATTTCACAAGCCCATTGAGTGAGAAGGGAAGGTCTGGGAGTGGTGCTTACCTCCAAAATTGCATTTGATACTCAGAAGTTTACAGTGAATGTGAATGAACATCCAGGATTATTGTTTTTAAATGGGAAGAAAAGGGCAAAGGAAGATCTTTTTAAAAAGTTTTAAATTTTTTTACTTAGGCATACCAGGGCTGTATCTAAGAAGGGGCATGGGATCCTAAAACCATCAGAGGCTGTAGCTTGCTTTCGGGGCAGCAAAACTTCTTGCTTTCCCCCCCTGCCAATGCCCTAATTTCTTAATAGTGTATCGCAAAGAATTTAGGAAGTGCTCTCATGCAGTTTGCTGTGTGTTATAGAAACAGGTTTTTTTGGCAGCTGCGTAAACATTTCAACCTCTTTGTTGGCTTTTTGCCTTTCCGAAGTTCCCATCTACCCATAAGGCCTTAGAATTAGGCTCTT